GAAACATGGCCACTTCCCCCTCCCAACCCACTCCTACCCCCTGCCACCTTCAAAGCGTTTCATCTTAGTCCAGTCTGAATCAGTTAAGATCGTCCATGGCTTTGCAAGAAAGCTAACAACTGACCCTCAGTCCTGAAGGCACAGTTAGCTCGCACTTGCTGAGCGTTGATGTGGCAATTTTCTCTCACTGGTTTTCAGTGGTTCAGAGAGGTGTGTTTTACACTATATTATAAGAAAGCAGAGCTCAAGTCATATACCCGTATTCCCACAGAGTAAGTGTCAAACCAAGAGGCTAATTCTCAAAATAGAAGCTGCTGGAAACAGTGATCAGAGGAACACTGCGCTTTCAAATCGCCTGTGTTCATTAGAGATGACTAGTAACAGCATGACAAGAACAGAAGTATCTTTCTAAAATACAGGAAACACCAAGGAGGTATTTACAAGTTCTATGTTAGTTCCAAACCTAAATCTAGGCACATGCTATTTCTAACCACAGGGTATCTGGGGTACAGTGCGTGTGCAGGGAGGGGTACTGGGGCCCAGAGCACTCCTCAATCAAGAAATCCTGACTCTACATCTGTAACTCTGATCAGCTCTCCCATTGTTTTGGTGGTTTGGAGATTAACATATTTTGAAAGAAGACCAAGGCAGAAGAAATGATAGGTGGGTGTGAACGAGTGTAACTGTTTTTTTTTTTCACTTGGGATTTCAGGAAGTCTTTTAAAGGGAAGCCTTCAGTGCCTGCAGTGGATTGACAAAGGTTTTGCTATTTAACCCTGACTTATTACAAGAGAATGTTTAAGTGATTACCCAGTAGGGTGTGTCTGTCAGGTGACCCATCTATTTTCAGTTACATATAAGAAGGAGCCCAGTCATCAGGAAGCCAGAATGCGGGGGGAAGTCTTCCCCAAGAAAATGCTTACAAGTCAAAGAAGTTCCTTCCCAATCTCCTCCAGGGCTGGTCTGATAGAAGAATCAGAAAGGAGATTTTTACACTTTATTTATTTTGCTTTTAAAATCCCATGTTCCTGCTTCTTTTTGGCAAACTCTTTAGGCCTTTCTTAGACATCTGAAATGAGGTTGAGAATGAGGATGGGGGTGGGAATCTACTAGGACTGGGAGTGTGGTGGGACGCCTTCAGACCCTTCGGACATGCCACTTCCTAATTCAAACCACCAGCGACTTAAAGATGATCTGAGTGTCCTGATTTCAGAGGAGTGACTGTGGCTGCTTAGCCCAAGGTCACACAGCCAGTCAACGACCTTGAAAGGCCAGCTTCAGGATTCCACGGTGTGATGATCTTTCCATCATCTCCCAGTCTGAGGTTCTATTGGTTACGTGCCAATTATCTGCCTGGTGCAAGGTTTGAGAGTTTGGCAGGGTCTTCACCGTTTATGTTGTCCCTGCCCAGTTACAACACTGGTGGCCAAAATTCTGGCCGGAGGAACTGAGTGCCGCTACTCAGCAGAGAACAAGGGGCGGAAGAGGTTTCCTCAAAATGCATGTAAACCACTGGTGAAAGGGGACGGAGAAACCATGACGGGGACAAAAGGGAGCTGCTCAGAGGAGAACTTGGGCATCCAACGATCTCCTCCCAGTTTTCCTGTAGTGGACAAAGGATCTGGCCCCCAATCCTTCACTCATTTATTCACGCACTCATTCACTCCACAAATCAACTCTGGTTCTTGCCAGGTATAGCGCTAGGCACTGGAGCTTAAGGAATAGTTCTGCCATCTCTGGCCCAAAGCCCCAGAAGACGAGGAATGCCATGGAGTCCCAAACTCAATAACTGAAGACAGACCTGGAGGTGACTTGTTAGTACCTGAACTGGACTCCCTGATCCTCTCTCTAAACCCTGTTCTTACTCCTCGTGCTTCCAGAAGTCCCACCTCCAATGCAGCCAAGGGGAGTGTATTCTTCCCCACACTCTCTTTCCATCTTGTCACTGCCTCTTGGAGGATCCCTGTCCTGTAGCAACCCAACCCTATAGTCTCCACCTATGTATTATCTTTCTCTACCTCCAAGTACTAACTTAAATGCTACCGCACTCCTGAAGGAGGGACTAAACTCACACCACTTTAATTTATGCTTCATTCTCGAAAGCAGGGGTCCTGAAAGTGCCGTACACTGTGTCCTGTTCAGCATTCTGTCCTCCACAAGAGAAACATGACAACACATGTGTTTAAGAAAGGAGTCCCAGTTCAAGCAAAATTCATCTGCTAAAAGCAATGGTTCCCAATCCTGGTTCCAGAGGCTTGGTTAGATAATTTTCAAATGCACAGACTACTCAGGTTGAGGCTTTGTTTTAAATATAAATGCAGCTATAAGTATTTTTTAAATTCTTGATAGCCTTTATAATACAATTATGTGGGTATCTTAGAAATTTTTTGACTTTAAAATATAGTTTTCCAAAAAGTACTTTTAGCTAAAGCAAGGCTCTGTTCTGGATGTGTAGAGGTTTAGGGAGGGAGTTACACTCCAAAGACCTTCAAGCCCAATTCTGCAGACTGGCCCACCTTTTGTGAAGACAACCTGCCCCTCTTCCTCCTGCAATACAAAGCCCCAAGCGCGGGGGGAGCTGGCCGCATTGTTCAGTCTGCCTTCTCCTGGGCTCTACATCCCTCAGGCTCTCCAGCTCTCGCCTCCTGCTGTGACCTTGCTCCCCTCCCCCACGTAAAGGAGGCAATTTCCATCCAATGTGGTCAGAAGACCTCTTGAGGGTCGGGGTGTGTGAAGGCGTGGTTGGTAGAGCCAAGCTACTATCCAGGGATACCTCTTGGTTCTGACACTCAAGACAGGAAGACGACGCGTCACGGCTACTTTCTGCACATGACTTGCTGGGATGAAGCAATACGTGTAGCTCTAGGGCTATGGGTAGAGCAAGGAGAAGTATGAGGCCACTGAAGAAAACTGCAGGAGCCAGCCTAGCCTCAGACCCTGGTGCAATCAAGATGCGCTCATAGTACCTCTGCTTACACCATGGACTTGACGGGCTTATTTCCAGTAAATCCCCCTGGGGTCTTAATGTAAGGCACTTGGCAGCCCTCACCAAGGATGTCTGCCGCCGTTTGTCCCCCATTTTTTTTACCATTTCCTGTCCTAATTCAAGTGTAAATCTCTTGGCAGCAGAGACCAGGAAATGCCTTGTTCTGCAGCTCCTACCCAGGACCTGGTGTGGTCAGAAGGAGCTTGCAGAGGGAAATCAGCTCAAATGTTTTGGTCTGCCTGAACATACAGGAGGAGGTTTACAAGAGAAGAAACACAGACACACTGGAAAAAAAAGTTGATAACTTTTTTAACTTTATTGCTACAGTATCAAATCATATATATATATATATAAATAGTTACAGAGCATAAATACTTGTATGACCAACTATCAGCCTCTAGCCAAAAAAAGACTTGTTTTTAAAAGCATTCAATGAAATAAATCAATAGACTTATGTAACACTAAGGAAGCCACTGCTGAGGTAACTTTACATTCAAAGTGACTATAATCTATATTAAAACCTGCTACTATAAGAATTTGAGTTATGAAATCCTTGTCTCATAACTGAAAAACACAAGATTAACTAACACACATTCAGACTAAACAAGATTTTAATTATAAATAAGCATAATAAATAAGATTATTTATTGAAGAAACTCAATCATGGCATTACTCTTATATATGTATTTGGGGACTTTGTTTATAGCCTGGACTTTTAATAACAATCCGGTATCTACACAGACATCCTTGTGTGTGCGTCTGTGTGTGTATGCACGTGCACAGCATAACACTCTAATGCAAATGTGCCTACCCACACATCCTTGTGTGTATGTACACACAAATATGTACGTATACCATCATGTTGTTATGTGCCGTCAAGTTGGACCTGACTCATAGTGACCCCTCCTTGGGTTTCAGAGGCGGTTATCACTATGGAAGTAGTTTGCCCCATCTTCCTTCCGAGGAGTGGCTGGTGGGTTTGAACCACCAGTGGTCAAGTGCCTTAGGCACTAGGCTACCAGAGTTCCCTACAATCATGTATATATATATGTAGAATTTTCATTCTGGATGAGAAACATCCATTACTTAAAAAAAAACAAAAAAAAAAACCCAATTATGAAAACATGATAGATTTTCTTTTAAAAACTCCTTTTTTATAGAGTGCAATACTGACCAGTGTAAGAAAGATTTTTATAACAGATTTTTATAAACTTCTTTAGACATTTGTTTTCTTACCAACAGTTACTTGAGATTTGTCTTAAGTTATAATTACATCAGTAAAAAAGTCCCAATTCCTTTTCTTTTTTCCTTTATTATTTTTGGTTATGCAAAATCTCCACATTCTTTATCATTTAATCATCAATCTGTAAGAGTTTTACTGGCACCAAGAAATGACTTACAAGTCTATGGAGTTTTTTGAAAGTACATACTTTCCAGTTCATCCCCACAGCTATACATTTAAAGAGCGGTCTCTGAACAAAAGCAGTACAACTTCATCAAGAAACAAATCATCAAAGGATTTTTACATTTTGTAGTGATCTACGAAATCAACATTGGCTATTCTGATTTCAAACAAGATAGTATGTATATACCAAATATTCTACAATGTTCTGGAATTGTCACCCAAAAGCAGAGGCAACAACTGAACATACTCTGTTTCTTCCAGTAAAGCCACCATGTTTTACCAACCCTTCTGACACTACATATGGCGGAAGCAACCTTCAGCAGAGATACAAGGACAATTCTTTTTCTCTAAGCAAAAGAAGAAATGTATAAGTAATCACTTCGCATTTTCAGTGCTCTTCCAGTCTTGCTTTCAAACACACAAAATGGTATTACAATGCTCTCTCATGCCCAAGAATGGCTCCTAAGAAACCTCCATCTTCATTTCCAAGGGTACCCACAAACCCAGGAGGCTGCCCTGTGTCCCCCTGGATGACCATGGGTGAAATGCGCACAGTGGGGACCCTTCCTTCTAAAGGAGTCTCCGTATTCAAAGGCTCATCGGAAGCAGTCAGGTGCCGGAGTGGAAGAGTTTGGCGATCACATTCAGAAGTTTCTGCCGGAAACTCAGTTTGTCTCCCATCCTCCTGAGCTGAATAGCACATTCAACTTCTCGCTCTGAAAAGAGACACCAAATAGTAACATGAGCATTGATGACGTTCCAGCCTGCACCCCACAAGAGTTAATATGCTCATCCAAATGCATGGAATATTTACCTTAGCTTTTTGGAAGTCTGTTCCCTGAACGTGAGACAGACTTAGAAGGAACACACACACAAACACACACACATTCCACATACACTAACACACACTAACACACTAAGACTCATAAACAAAAAAAATAGTAAAGTCACTTTGATTTTTTTTAAAAAAGCATCCTGAATGAGGCAAACGGACCTTTACTTTCCAATATGGAAAATTTAGTATGTCCATCTCCACAAAGAGTAACTGTAGCCGGCCTTTACCAATGCCACATGGGACACCCCGTTCTCTCATTTAAGACTGTTCGGAGAACAGAGGCCAAATTCTAAACTCTTTGGTGCTGTTTTCTAGTACAATTTATTTATTAAATGTCAATAATCCATAGCTTAGGTTACATCCTCAATAACAAGCCAATCTAAAGCTATCCATTTCATTTTAAAAATTCCTTTGAAATTTTATCACAAAACTCTTTACATCTTATTTCAAAATTAAGTCCAAATTCTCTGAAGTAATTTATAAGTTTACATTTTACTCTAACAAACATTTCTTTCTGCACCCACGATCCATACCAACCTATTGCCTTTATGGACGTGACTGAAGTGGAAAATAAATAATGTTTCATTTCTATGTTTCCTTGCCTTTTAGAATTGAGATACTGTAACTAATGGAATATTAATATAAGAAAAATTATGTATACAATGACCTAATTTCCAAGTAAATTTGTAAGTAAATGAAATTAACCTTCAATCTATACTATTCATTAATGTTCATTTTCTCTGACATTTCAAAGAGCAACTGAAGGTCTTTTCAATCCACTTCAAATCCATGATTATGAACATTAAGAATCACTGACTACAAACTCTGGTGACCAGGCCTGAAAATAAGTGAAAACTAGCGACCCCTCCTTGGGTTTCCGAGGCAGTATCATTACGGAAGTAGGATTGCCCAACCTTCCTTCCGAGGAGTGGCTGGTGGGTTTGAACCGCCAGCCTTCTGGTTAGCAGTCAAGTGCCTTAGGCACTATGCTACCAGAGCTCCTATAAATAAATACATATAAACTGTAAAAACAAGTTTTCAAATCTCTGTTTCAATCAATTTCTCTCTTTACAAGAGCTGGGCAAAATCCTTTCTAATCCCTATTACAGAGTAATTACTAGAGAATATTATAAGATGCCATTCTTCATAAACTATAGGTTTATACAGGAAACTTTTTCTCCAAACATTTTCAGAAGAAATGATACACATGTTTACTTTTAAGTGAATGGGATATTAGCACCAGAATGGACTTGATGGTAACTAACAAAAAAGATTAGGTAATCATTCAGCAAACAATTTTGGGAGCCGTGGATTCTAAGAGCAAAAATTATCCCTGTCACCAAAAAAAAACAGCTCCTCGTTGTTTCCTTAATTTTTTTTTCATCTGTAAATGTACTAGTATCTAATCAAGTTTGACTTTCTGTTACTCCTTGTTATCAGTAACTAAGCAGGTGGGGCGGAGACGGCTAGGCACAGCTTTTAGGTACACCTTTTGGGAACAAGTTTGAGTATCACAAAGAGTGGATAAAGCTTTTTCCACCCCAAGCGAGAGCCACAGAGAGGGGCCTTGTCCCACATAGCCATGGCCGTATTTGCAAACTACCACCACTTCCTCTGGCGCCCCAAGGGCTCTCTGTATAAAAGAAAACTACTTACAGGAGATGGTGTATTACCTTCTGATGCAATAGCAGTAGGACCCACGCGGATTTTCAAGTCAAGCACCCTTCCTGGCTACTGCCCCTTAGAGGGCTGCCTTCTTTGGTAAGATTTGTAAAAGAAGGGGTGGGGTGGGGAGGGGCTTGACTTGAAAAGTCACCTGATGGAGATGCGGGGGGTGGAGCGCGAAAGGATGGATGCGTGGAAAAGGATTGGGGACCAAACCTTATTCTTCTCTCTAGCGCCCCTCCCCCTGCCGCAATTAAAAATGTATACTGTTTAGCTTCAAAGAAGGCTTTCCAGGTTCCTAAATGTAGCGGTCTTGGCGCGGCCTCCATAAACCCTCAATTAGCCCTGTGTGGAGGAGCTGGGGCAGTAGTACCAGCTTTGGTAACGTGTAGGGAGAAGCGTTTGTTGGTGTTTAGTAACTGAGCAGAGGCCCGCTGAGGACGACGTCTCCGGACCGAAAGGCTGGTCGCCGGCAGAGCTGGGGGCAGCTCCCACCCCCACCTGCCATGGCAATGACTTTCTCCTCGCGGCAGCCGCCTGCGCTTGCGCTTTTGGTCCCCACGGCCCCCGAGCGGGGCAATCGGCGGAGATGGGGGGCAGGGGAGCCAAGAGAAGAGGCTTTCCGTCCCGGGCAGAGGCATCCCAATCCCCCAGTGTAGTTGCCTCCCGCGCCGTCGCCACAGTCCTGGGAAACCCCCGCAAGGACTTCCTGGAGGGGCCCCGGGCGCGCAAACCTGGCCCGACCTGGAGCCCCGTGTAGTCGGGGCCTGAGCCCGGACCCCGGCCTCCGGAGGCCGCCACTCCAGCCCGCCTGGTTTCCCCGGCCCGGTTCGTGCGTACCTGCCGGCGCCCGCGTGGGGCTCGGCTGCGCGCTCTTACGCGCCTTCTTCCCGGGCATCTCCGCCAGCAACCAGCTGAAGCCGTGCGACGACTTGGAGGGCACAGTCCCCCACCGGGCGCCCCAGACTCTGTCTGCAGGAGGGGGCTGCGCGCCGGCAGGAC